GTGTTTCTGTAATACAAATAATGTCTATACTCTCGTTTGCGATCACAGTTAACAGTTCACTTTTTTTGTTCAAAACGGAATCCGAGTTCGTGTAAAAACATTTTAAAACTTTTTGTGCACTTTCACTTTGATGTATGCGGTTACTCCCTACATTATTTACAGGCCTTAATCTACGGACATCATTCCTACTAATTACTTGACCTCCATCTCCTCTGCCTGTCCTTGAGCAGCCGGTGTTGTCTTGGCAGCTTGGAAGTGATTGACCTGATTTTATAAATATCACGGCAAGGGGGGATATATAATAAAATTAAAATCAAATTGATTAAATTTGTCAAAAAAACACTGAGATAATGCTCATTGTGTAATATGTATGATCACCTGCATCCAAAGTAGCCTGGGCGCAATCGATGGTAGACTTGACGCCGCTCTTGACAACCCACGTGATGTTTTGAGTGCTCGAGCTTGTCAGCTCAACGAACTCTGAGGTGCCCAGCTCGATGGAGTAAAGGCTTCCTGACACAGAGTTCGCCTCCGCAGCGCAGGTTGAGAATAAGTTCGTTTGTAGGTTCGTTTGCAGGACAAACTGCAAATGATAAAACCGTCGATTACTTAGAGGTAAAATAATTTAAATGCGATTACAGCATTGAATGCCAGCTATTTATATACATAAGTAATGCAGGCAATATTACAATAGATTTTTTTGCAATCAAAATTTATTTAGAAAAGAATGAAATGTGAAATGAATGGGAAATAAAAAAATTCAATTCCCCATAAATAAATTCCGTCTGCAATAGTCTCGAATATTTTTGTTCAAGAGAAAATGAACAATCCCATAAAAAATTCTGCGTGATCCAAATAAATAATTCATGTTCGCGTTCACGATTATTCATGGTTACATTTATGTCTTTAGTAATGCATCTCCATTCTTTTTATTCATAATACATTTTATAGTTAGATATCTCATTATTACTGACCGGAATTGTTAAAAAAAAACAATATAATTTATGAGAATCTTAAAGTTGCTTAAATTTACCCACCGTTTCCGAGGATTCGCTAGCGCGTGGCATTTCAGCATGCGATGTCTGATCCTGAGCGAAAATGAAAGGTGGAATAAATTTACGAGAAAATCAGGGATACTCTGCGAATTATTAACATTTTGAGATTTCTTAACAATGTTCTTAAGTGATCTTCACGGGTAGAAATAAATTATCAAGGTTGCATATAAAATTAATATGTTCACGGTCATTTTGAATGTGAGTGAATTTATAACGATATTTATAAAATTTCATAACGATAGTCTCAAAGATTTCTTTCAGAAAGAGCATACTTCACATTTCAATTTAACTTTCTAATTAATTATTTTGCGTTTGCTAAAAAATTTAAACCTGATATTTTAAAACTTAATATATTATTAATATAAAACAATAATTCACTAAAATGCCATTATTCATCTAAAGAAAAATGTAACAACATTTTCAGATCTTGACCCTTTATGCAAATGACATTGATACAACGTTGATTAAGAGTTTATTTCTGGTTACAACGTTTATTCAATGTTATTTTAACATCAGATATCTGGTTGCTTAGTACATATGCACAAGTATGTATTCCCACCGTTGGGAAGGCAGGCAAGGTTGCCACCACCAGCAGAATATACCAATTAACATATGGAGCAAAATTAAACAACATTTCAAGACCATTCATGTGTAACAGTATGTATTCAAAATTAAACAACATTTCATGAACATTCATATGTAACAGACTAACAATATGTATTCCCACCGTTGCTGAGGCAGGCGAGGCTGCCGCCACCAGCAGCGCGAGAAGTAAGGCAGGTGCGTTCATCGGTAATTGTTGCTCTGGCGAGGGTCGCACTAGAACTGGCGACACAAGCGCTCTGCAGCAACAAGAATAGTGTAGCAAGTGTTCACCGCGATATTTACTCGAGTAACATGGGAACAAAATAACATGAGCTTATACTTTTTTTCACAGCTTACCTTCTAGTTAATAGATAAATTGGAAAAGTCTCATAGACGAGACCTATTTGTTTGATAAATTAATTTGGGTCATAAAGTATGAAATTAATTAAAATTAATAATGGCCTTCAGAAGCATGTATCTCTTCGCTACAGGGCTTTGCAACAAAATAATTTGCATATTCTACGTTACAGATGAGCTGGTTCAAGAAGGATGAAATTTTATTACTTATAAATGCTTAAAAATTTATGTGGTAATTTTTTGAAACGCTGTGTCGAAAGAAAAATGTAATGAAAATAATGCAATGGCAAGAGATGCGCAAAAACGTGTTATCTGAAGATATTTCAGTGTTTTATGAGTACATTTACAAAATTGAATGAACAATTAAATTGAACATAATGATAATATCCAAACATAACAATATCCAAAATTGAATGAACAATCCATTGGATATTACCGATCATTGACGAGAAGATATATAGCTGAAAAAGATGGAAGAACAAAATAGTGCAGGAACATAGAACAAAATGAAGAACTTTGAGTCAAGTTAGCAAGAATGGTCGTGGTCTATAATCAATAGTACTGGATAAGCAAAAGATTACGCCGGGAACGAAATGAAATTCTCTAAAAAGCCGCAGCATGGCAGGAATCGAAAATTGTTTATACGCCATCACTAAGGGAAAGAAAAATAGCTGAATTGTAAAAAAGCAACGAATGATTACGGAAAATGAAGGGTGTGTCGTAGAGAAACAACAATATTCTAACAAAATTTTAAACGTTCACCGATGTAATATCTATTCGATATATGTAACTTCGATTTTGATAGAACTCTTCTATTCAGCTCATGAGTGAGTCGAGCGGAATAGACAATATACTCATATGAACATTTGAAATACAAGTGTTCTAACACTTGTTACCCATACAAGGCCACGAGCGTTAGCAACCGATCTTGTACAGCAAAGTTTAGAAAACATCGTTACATTCATCTCATCATATGAACAAAATTGAATCCATATATTCATAAGAAATTTATTCCTTCAATGAAATAAAATTTTGACCGTTACCATGAATCAAATACATTTGGCTTGCTGAACAGATTTGTAAGACTCTGAATTGGTCTGAATCACTCGGACAATCACTCATATGTCGATCCTAAGCTGTTATGCATGGCAAGCCTCAGCCGGTCTAAGCATCTGCAGCAATTACATTTAGAGGAGCTCAGTTGCAAATAGAAATCAAATCAAGGTTGAATTCTTGAATTTAATTGAATTAAGGAATTATTACAAATACATTACGACCATGCATTATTCAGCTTGTTTATTTCTTGGATGGCGACTGACATCCAATTGGCATTTTTATTGGTAATCTGCAATGCCAGGAAAAAATTCATTCCTTTGATCACATGAGATTTGCCAAATAGTGAACTGGAACCCTGATAATATTTTTAATCAAGTTCTGCAGTTATGTGGTCATAATTATCCTTCAATGGAAAAAGAATTAAGCTGCAAAGTAGTAAAACGACTTCTCGCTTCTGCAGCGGCAACATATCTCGTGGTAAATACATTGCTTCGTGTATTGATCGCAGCATGAGCCAATGGAGGTTACCTCGCTGGGGTCGTAACAAGCGATCCTAACTGTAATTTGTTGCACTGGTATAACGATCAGTGAACATTAAGACCAACAAAATATACAGTCAACAACATGAAAAATCTTGAAGCTGCCATCTAACCCAATATCAAATAAAGCATCCAGCTGACTTCTAGAGTGAAATGCGCAAATATTTGGCACATGGTAAAACATTCGACTTTGCGAGCATTCTTCGTAAGTACAATAACGTTCATTCAAATGTGAATAAATTAAAGAGAGCGTAAATTAAATCTAGTTCTAATTTTGAATTTGTCGTTTGCTAAAATGGTTGCACCTTTTATGGATAACGATTAGAAAATTTTTCAATCGCATTATGCATTAAAATAGTGAAATGATTCATAGGTCAAAATTGTAAAATCGACAGCTGACTATGGATAATGTAGATAACAATATTACGAGATGTTTTTTCAACAATATTTGTAAGTCATCTAAAAAATAACGGCATCACAAAATAGATGCAGGGTTTCTACTCTCTTATACTCTATATTCAGTCCCAAACATTTTAGTTCATCGTATGTGATTATCTCCACTGTTCAGTTGCGGCGAGTTAAGTGGTCGCACCACACATAAACTTGATGGTGGTACACTTGCTGAGATAACTGGAAACTCGAGTACACCTGTTTAGAATAAACTGACTCGTTGATCAACCAACAGACTGAACTAAAGGGACCAGTTTTATAGGAAACGTTGGTTCTGTGGATCAATTGCCATGGGTTTCATTTGGCTACTGCGTTATTTCTCGTAAAAACTCGCAATTGGAATAACATTTTTTCTGTACGCAGCTACAATATTAGTCATATTCATACAAATTATTCCTCATCATAACATTATATGCTGTAGAGATAAAAAAAATTGGTATGATTGTGAATTTTAGCCGCGCACTGCGCAGCAGCATGCTCGTGAGAAGAGATATTCTGTAAAATATTGATAATTGAACGTATTTTATATCGAAAGCAAATTTATATCTTAAGTACGTAGACTGAGATAAAAGAGTGAAAGATTACGTGTAATGTGAGTAGAAGAACGAACAGCAGAATAGATTAAAATGAATTTCAAGACTTGAAAGAAGTATCAATTCATTTGAACAGAGCTGAGCAGTTCAGTTGATGGCGTTGTTCTCGAGTCTCTATACCTGATGAAGTTCTGCTGATCCCTTGTTAATTTCAGGTGAATAAAGGCATGACAATGAGCTGCGGTGAAAGTTGTGAAAAGACTCTTATGGAGTCAGCTTATTTTTAGTTGAAGAACGAAGAGGGCTGACCAACATCTGTAAAGCGGGTCGTTAGAAAAAAAATTAACATTATCAAGAAATCTACTGTATCAAGTGCGGACAGATTTCGTAATGTTAATCAATTTGACTAAGGCGGTAAATATTTTGAAAGGAATCGGAAGATTCTTTCCAACGACGTTGCTAGAGTTGACCTGTTAAAGTGAGATTATAAAATTTAACTTGATTTACATTCCTACACCCGTAACTGTTGCATCTACAACCACATATATCCAGACTGAGTTTACGGGATAACACTATTAAAATTTAACCCTATATATAAATTGATCTTCAGTTTAAGAATGTTCGCAAGGACCGATCCGACACTTTTATGACGATTTTTTACGCTCCCTTCCTAATTTTGTCAAATCGGGATCGATTTATTAAAATTGACAACAATGCTAATTACTCACAATACGCCTCTGGATGGGTGTCAGATTTTTTTTGTGCGCTAAGTTTTAAATTGGTGCGCAAATAACAAGTTTCATCAAATTTTCCACATATAACCTTATTACATCGAAACAGATCTCGATCTAATCAACAAAGAATCTATGTATTCACCATACTCTCCAGCGAGCCTTGTCCTCACATGTTTCCAGTTTTCTTTTTAAGAAGCGCGCTAACCGCAATGTTAGTTTAGCATTCAAACGTTGCTAAAACTTAGCGTTCAGTGGGATACTTAAATACGAAGCGGACAATAAAAATTGCTAATTTATTTATTAGTTAGAGGTCGGTATCTTTTTAAAAAAGTTATGCGTGGAAAGTGAGCGTGATAAAATTCGACCCATAAGCCTCCCTGATAGCATCGTTGACGCTCCGAGTATGAACATCTTCAAGAACAGACTAGATGAAGCTATGTAGGAGCATATGTTCAGTCTTAAAATGCCCAGCAAATTACGGACCAGGCAATAAGTCCAGACGAAGCTATGCAGGAGTATATGTTCAGTCTTAAAATGCCCAGCAAATTACGGACCAGGCAATAAGTCCAGCAGCTATCTCAATCAATCTTCATTTATGGAAAGATCGGGTTCCAAAGGCCGGATCCCTTGCGAATCAAGTCACGAAAAGTTCAAGAATCGGCAACAGGCCATGGGCCTATTTCTTCAATGCCGACACTTCTATTCTATTCTATAAGTGTCTATAAGAGGTCAGTTACCGCCACAAATTTACTAGTTTGTCTAGACGGATATATTAACCGTCTTCAATATTATTCGTATCAATAATCCTATTTACTAGTTACCAACAAAGAGCTAACTCGCTTCCATGTAGTCAGTAGGCCTGAGGCATGCACTATCCAACCCATATCTCTGATCCATCTCCAACAATCTGCCGGCATTTATGTTCTGCATCAAATCAGACCAAAGTTGGAATGCTATTGGTCGAAAACGACCACAGATCTTGCAACCTAACTTAAAGGCACCAATTTCATATTCTGAGAGCTTCACTACCCGTAATCTGTTTGTTGTTAGCAAGAAAACATCTCAAAATCTCTCCCGTCTGCTAGAAGTAGAGAAGCTAGGGCTATAGTCAAATATAGACTACCTTCTAGTCATACTACTTCAGCAGAAGTTATTGGTCCACTTGACAGTGAAATTTCTAACGAGTAACCCACTGCAGCACCGAGTTCTGCAGAATATCTGGGTGCCATTTTAGATAGAATTTGGAAAGGAAAAAAGTTCATCAGAACCCCAATGTTCAAAGTAAGTAACAAAGTAGCATCCTGTCTTAAAATGAGACCATTGGCTGCCAGTTCTCCTTGATTCCCATATTTATGGGTAATATGTAGTTAAAATAACTCCTATTTGCAGGCTTGGTTGCGCTGAAATCGGTGTTTTCCAGTGAGTTTCAGATTCAGAGTTCAGTGAAACCAGCAATAATGATAGTTTCAAAAGTTACTGGTCGCATTTAAATAGTTTCGTACGACAAATTTATTACTAGCACAGCAAACGCTCGATGATTTTTCACTTATAACATTT